TATAAATCTACCACAACTATAACTAAGTCTACCATTGCGCGAACCATCAATAATTCTACCGATCACAAAATCAACTCTACCACTACTACTAATAAGTCTATCACTCAAAAATAAATCTACCACCACTATAAATAAGTCTACCACTGCGCGAGCCATCAATAAATCTACCGATCAAAAAATTAACTCTACCACCACTGCTAATAAGTCTTATCACTCCAAAATAAATCTACCACTACTGTAAATAAGTCTACCATTGCGCGAACCAGCAAGAAGTCTACCGATCACAAACTTAACTCTACCACCACTAGAAATAAGTCTACCGATCACAAAATTAACTCTACCACCACTGCTAATAAGTCTATCACTCCAAAATAAATCTACCACTACTGTAAATAAGTCTACCATTGCACGAACCATCAATAAGTCTACCGATCACAAACTTAACTCTACCACCACTAGAAATAAGTCTACCGATCACAAAATTAACTCTACCACTACTACAAATAAGTCTACCACAATATTATAAATCTACRACTACTATAAATAAGTCTACCATCGTGCAAACCATTAATAAATCTACCAACCACTTAATAAATCTACCACTCGTAAATAAATCTACCATCACATGAACGGTAGACTTATTCGCTTTTGGCGGGAAAATTTTGCTGTCTCATTAATGGCAGTTTCGTAAATATGTTTTTTTGTCTTCAAAGAAAATGAAGTTAAAACGGATATAAAAAATCTTTCAAGATTGTTTGAGTAATATTCAAAGAAAATCATCATTTTTGTAAAAAATCAATTTTCCAAGATTGTTTTTGTAAAGTTACCTTACTGAAATTTATTGATATAGTAATGGTTACAGCTAACTAAAAGGAAAAATATCTGAAATATAGCTCTGCACATTAATACTGAGATATACACTCGTCTCCATAAGCTAAAACAAACAGAAAAGTTGTAAAACGAAACTATAAAGTAAGCTTTCATAACCTCTTCTAACACAAATGACTATATTGGTCCCAAATCATTCTTGTATCTCTCTAACAATCTAAGAAAAAGTGAAAACAAAAAGCTTTAAAATAAATAATGCTTCTATATCATAAATTCTTAAGATCTTGTAACTCTCTAGATCATTGCAATTCTTTAGATCATTATAATCAGATTTTTTAAATCTTACAATTTCTTCTAGAGAGCCTATCTTTAAGATCTTGTAACTCTTCAGATCATGGATCATTTCCCAGTGCATCCTCCTGGACCACCATAAGGATCCTCATCATCATGAACATACTTGGCTTTATAACAATTTGGACTGCTTTGTTGTGTCTTTATAGTATAGATTTGTGGAATCAAAGCTTCTCCCGAACCATCGATGATGTTGATACCGTTTATAAAGGCTGCTTTTCCGAAAACTTCCTTTGGAAAATGTCCACTTCCCATAAGTGGACTCTGCTCTGCTAATGGGCTATACACTTGACCTCCCCAAGATGCTAAATGTGCTCCTTTAGCTAACCCTGAGCCTATGAACAATGAGTTTGGGCAATACCCAACGTTCTCACCCCCAAATACAAACCACCAGTTTCCCGTGGCAAGATCCTGCTCTCGCTTTTTAAAATATGAATATCCAAAATGGCTTAAGAGAAAAGATCACTAGAGAAAATGAATTTTTTTTTTTTACCTGATGCAAGCTTAAGTCCATTTCTTTCTGTATACCATTATAAACTGAAATTGGTTGAAGAAGGACACCAAGTGGTATCCTCTTGCTGACTTGCACAAATCCAGGACATCTTCGTAAAGCCGGTCTTTTTATATCCATTTGCATGTTCGGATCAACCACCATATCCATAACACTAAGACCTCGTGAAGTTGTAAACTACTAGCGTAAACTCTGCAGAGTTACTCAAAACTTACTAGTAGTCCAGTAGGTGTACAAGTGAATGTGACCTCCTTGGTACAGCAATGGATGAACCTGCAGTATATATGTTTCCAAATATTTTTCTTAATTTTACTAATTAAAAGCGAAACAACCAGAAACTAGACTTACCATCCACCCAACTAAAATGCTAGCTAGTTGTTCTAAAGGGCCTCCGGCAATAGCCATGCTTGCAAGACTAACTTGATCTAGTGACACTTTTGGATCCCAGAGGTTAAGGTTTCCTTTTACTCTGGAAACGGTGCTATGTGTATAGTCGACCGTTGCAAACTAATATTCATATTGAACAAAGAAAATAAGAAAACTGAAGCAGAGAAATGGTGATTAAGTAAGGTTTGTCCAGTTAAATCATCTTCTTCTGTAAGTAAATGTCTCGGGCCATCGAATCCCATGGATTTCAAACGTTGTGCGTGCAAAATATCTTGCATTGTAGTCCTTTTTAACAATTACCGTTCCATCTGGACAATTTCTGCCTTGTTGCAGAAGCTGAAAAGGACCAACTTTATTTGAAATATTAATTGTTGCCAGTGATCCAGTCAGGTACAATTGTTGGCTTCAGCTGCATATACGCCAATGCGTTCACAAATTCACAATCATTCTCTAAAAAGAATAATTTTTTATACAAAAGACAGGAGATTAAGAGCGAATTATGAAGTAAGGAGAACCTGAACAGAGTGGTTTTTGAGGAGATGGTGATCAAAGGCTAGTTGCTTGTGAATATCGATACAATCGAATATTTCACCATGTTCAGTCTCTCAAGTTCTTTCTTCTCTTCTTCCGATGGCATTGATGCGTTCTTTAGCTGCATCAGTAACTAAAACAATAGCAATTGTTAGCAGAATCAATAACACAAGATTATTGGAGGACCACATTGCAAAACATTGATACTCCAAAAGTCAGAGACTCTTATCTTTGTTACGTAAATGAACAATGAACCAAAAGAATCAGTTATAATGAAGAACTTACAGTCAAAGTAACGGCCTATAATATTTCCTTGGAACCAAATCAACATAAAGTTAATGCTGAGATAAAGAGTTTGACTACCAACAAATAGGTATATAATGGTTACAAAAAATTTAAAACAAAAAGCTTCTCTTCATTTTATTCATCTCAAATGGTAAAAACAGAGAATAGTTAATAAACATTTTACTAGAATGTGCATCCTCCAGGTCCTCCATAGTACATAGATGTAGAATAAACAGGCCCTATATGTCCACTCGTTATGACACCGTAACAATCTGGAGTCTCCAACGAAGAAACTGCTGGGGTTTTAACTTCCCCAGTTACATAATCAATTACTTGAATACCATTCACATAGACTGCTCTCTTGAAAGCGGAATGCGGGGCATTAATCCACTTCCCATTTCTGGGCTCTTCTCTCTCACTGGAGAGTACACTTGTCCTCCCCATGAAACACTACTTGCTTCATGACCTAAGCCTGCATCTCTGAACAATGATTTTGTTCACCTTCTCATTAACAAAGATGTATCTTTTGCTCATTTCATGGAGCTTAACTTTCTTATGAAATTTTTTGAGAAATGCTACCTTATACACCTTGATACTTTGTTCATATTGTTCCCAACCGATCATAGAAACTGGCTCAAGACGGAAACCAAGTGGGAACTTGGTGTTCACTTGTACAAAACCAGGACATAATCTGTTGTAGCAACCTGTCTTCTTAAACCCATCTGCCTGTTTTAAATCAGAAAATACAAGCAAATTGAGTGATTACCAAAAAAAAAGACATGTTATTGTAAAGCTCTTTGGAGGTTTTGAGATCATACAGTCCAGTAAGTGTATAAGCGAGTGTGATTCTTGTTCAGCCATTCGTACACATGAGGGATGTTTTGGAATGCAGGTTCCGGTAAATATTCAAACTTTTCGCCATTTATCATAGAACTCAAAAAAAAAAAAACCCAACATCAGAATGAGAATTGTCGTGGAATGAGAATTGTCGTTGTTTCTGGTCCATTTAGGTATAATTTTAGGCCTCAACTGCACAACATCATATTTCAATCCGCACACAAAGTTAAAACCTTTTAAGAATTTCTACTAACGTCTTGAATTAGAGAACTTGTTATACCTGAATAGAATGGTTTTTGAGCAAAGGATGATCAAATGCTAGCTGCTTGTGAATGTCGACGCAATCGAATACATCACCATGTTCAGTCTACAAATATGTAAAGCGATAAAACTCAAAAGTGATGAGAGAAAAAAAAAAACCATTGTTATTCTGATGGCATCACTCCAAACGTTCAAAATTTCTATGTAATTTACTTTATATTGAAGAAGAAATAAACTTACACTGAAACTCTTGATTGCGGGTTTATTGATATAGTTTAGCAGTCTCTCTGTCTCCTCCTCCCTCTCTTCCAACAGTATTGTTCTGTGACTCTCTCCAAATACAGTGAGAGGTAGTGCTGAAAAAGTAAGCAGAAGAAGCTTATCAGAGGAAATCGTGGCAAGTGATAATTCTAGAGAATCAAGGCTCTTAATTTAGCTAGCTTTGCTAAAAGTTTAATGAAACACAGAAACTATATAAAGTGCCACATTACTTTGAGACCATTAATACCTATGCAAGAACCTATACACAATGACTGACAAGTGGCTTTCTTTCATTTCCCCTTATGTGGATTCTGATCAAAGTCACTTTTTCTTCTTGTATTCTTGTGAAATTGGTCTCAAACAAAGGATTACCATTTGGAGTCGAGAGCCTTATGAAGATTATAATGAGAGTCAGTAACAAACAGTTAGATACGTTATTCTTCTTGTATTCTTGTGCCAACTAAAGTGTTTCATTCAAGAAAGGACTAGATAAAACATAGACAAACTACCAAGAAGAAAAATTTTCAAAACCAAAACAGAAACAAAAACTTCAAAAATCTCCAAAAATCGAACAACATGGACGTTTCCATTGCATCAAGTGGTATCATAGTGGCACAAAGTTGAACATTCTTCAACTTGATTGATATATAGCGTATTGACACCACTCGACGTGATGGAAACTGAACGATGGAACTATAGAAAAATGGAGAAATCCTCTGTATATATATGGTTAGAGGCAGAGCAACTATACAATGTTGCAAGAACCTGTATACAATGACTCACAAGTGGCTCTCTTTTGGATTCTTAAGTGAGAGTTATTATTACCAAGCTTTAACAGATTTTTTTCCCTTAAATTCTTGTGCTAACTAGTAATTAAAGTGTCTCAAAGAACAAGATTCAGACAATCTATCAAGAACAAAATTTTCAAAGCGGGATTTACAACTAAATAAATATAAACTGAAATAAGACATGGCTAAATCCAAACACAAGAAACTTGTCAGATGTTTAAGAATCAAACTTTGAAAGAGAGGTTTATGGAGGAACAGAATACGAGCTGCTAGAACACATGCGGAGCTGTTCCAACACGTGGAGAAAAGTGAGATTGGGCTCTTATTGAATTAGAAAGCCCAATAATGATAGAGGTTAAAAGCCCAC